CAGGAATGCCGTAAGAATGAAATGCTGCTGTCCAAGCTGAAAGCCAGTTCTTCCTGAAGAACTCCAGCTGGGGAAATTTATAGAAGATTGTTCAGTCCATTGAATCTCTTTTGTGAGGTGACAGTTATAACTGCAATGTAGATGTATATATATAGATATATATATAAAATATATATACACACAGCTGTAAAAGTCTGTTTTTTCCAGTATGTGTTCAGTTTACATTCCCTCATCACATGGCTGTATTATTCATTATTGCCTCCACTACACAGTAAAGAGTTAACGCAGTACAGCAAAATAGAAATACTGTCTAACTTTATTTATTTGGGTTTGGGTTTCTTTTTCTACAGTAAGGACAGTGGGAGTGGTTTTTTTTTATTTGCGTTTTAACACTGAATTAGGTGAAAATTCTGGAATAAGTTTACATGTACTGTGTAGTATGTCTACTACCCCACAGGATGTGCACTGCAGAATGCAGTAGTTTATTAATTTTGGCCCCAAAAAAACCCACAGAATGAGATTCTTCAAACTTGCTTTTTCAGTTAATAACTTCACATTATTTTAGTTTATACTCTAGCCATATATAGGATTCCAAAGGATAACAATTAATTTCTAATGACTAAGAAAATGAAAACTTACCTTGGATAATTCCTGGTGTAAAATTATAGATCTATATTTTTATAAAGTCTAGCTGTTGTATAAATTTTTTTGAAATTTCATTTTTATATATAGAGAGTTTGCTTGTTAAATTAATAGCTCCAGGAAAAAAAAACACCTTAATACTAGGATCACCACATTATCCCTGGCTGGGATGAAAATCAGAGTCTGTCACCTGTAATATAGGAAGATAAAGATTGAGACATTCTGCTCTAATGAACTGATGCTCACCTTTGAAGACAACAACCTACTTACCCTGCTGAAGATTTGCTCTTGAAAGTTCAGAAACTTTGTGGGACACTTTCTGAGACATTTTTATATCTGTATATACAGTATTTTATAATTCAAACAATTGCTTTTTGTACTTAACACCAGGATTTTGGACTGACTTCTTAATGTACATGACATCTTCAGGAAAAGAAGACCCGTGTTCCTTTTTCCCACTGACACTGATGACAGCGCTGTTCCATTACTGTCTGTGGCAGCAGATATAAAATAAAGAATGTTTGGAATCCACTGACATTCTGATATCGTGTTTTTAAGGTGGAACTTGCCTTAGAAGCTTTTCCAGACTCCTGAATTACAAGTGCATTAAAAGATGAATCGTGTCCATAGCCAGCGAGTCACTGTGTTTGTGATGTCCTGTTCCTGCAGCACAAACAGAAAGGAAACCTTCCCACTGAGCCAGCTGGACCTTGCTCCCCCACACTGGTTACTGAGGGAATAGATCTGGGCTGCTCCTCTTGGATATGTTCAAAAAGTCAGTCTGCCCAGGGCTAACAAAATAATGAAGGCAAAATCAGATTCCAAGTCCCTTCAAAGAAGGAAAAATTTACATTCAGCATTCCTTCAAAGAAGGAAACCTGCATTGAGTGCTGCTTGTAGATTTTCTGTAGTCAGCTTTGATACAGGAAGCATTATTTCTGTCTACAAACTTTGCTTGCTATAAAAACTATATAAGGCTCTTTCCAGTTTGTAGATTGAATAACTCAACTTTGGCACCAAGGAGACCTGCTTGGGAATTCAAGCTGTGCTGTGTTTGTGTACCACACAACTCTAAAAAAATAACTTGAACGGGCATTTCAATTTGGGATTTATCATTTTAATCACAATTGCTTTTTAGCATCAAACAAAATTTCCTAGGTAAGGTAAATAATGAATTTGCATGTATAATAAATTGTGATTATTTGTTCAGTATAATGTTAAAATTTATGGTTACCTGCTACAAACACAGTAACCTGGAAACTTCCACAAGGAATATAAAAATGTTGCTCTGACTAGGATTTGTGTGATTTTGACTAAGATATAAATCTGAGGTTTGTGGAATGAAGTTGTTGCTCACAAAGGATAAATCATAACTCACTGTCTGCTGTAGATGGAGCCCAGGGCAGATGGCCACTACCTTTGGTGTGAGGCCCATGTGAAAATGAGAAGGAGCTGGTGAGGGTGTGAAAACAGTTCCATCAGCTGTTCCTTGCTTCCTGGCACAGGCTCTGTGTGTTGGGTGCCGTTTCTCCTCACACCTGGGGAGAAACCAACAGCAAGGAGAATCTGCCTTAATTCTCCATCTCAGCTGGTTGCAAGCAAGGAATTCTCAGAATTTTTCTTCAGTATTGCTGGATTTCCTTGTTGAAAGAGAAAGGTCTTGCCCTGAACTCATTTGGTGTTACCTTCTAAGATTTGTAAAATAACATTTACAGGACTTGCTACAAAACCTAATTTCTTTATTAGGGTTATTAGCATTGTCTGCTCACATTCATCTTCCAAAGCCCTTTCATTTCTGCACATTCTGGGCTCCCACACTGCAGCTGCTGCAGGATTCTCAGAGCCTTGCTGCAGGATGCAACTCTGCCCTTCTGCTGAGCAATAGGCTCAAATAAATTTTTCTAGGAGCAAATTCAATGTCAGGAAATGAAGTTTAAAACTAGTAGTCCACTGCTTAAAAGCAGAGATGATTGCTGTACTCCAAAGTGGCAGCTTCTATTGGGGAAATAAATACATAACATCTAAGCTGTGCCAAATGATGTCTTTTTAGAATATTTGATTTTTTTTTTTCTGTTTGAATAGTCAAGATACTGTGTCATTAATCTTAGTTCATATGGGAGCATCCAGCAAGTTAGGCAGCAACCACTGATACATATTTTCTTTTCCCCACAGCAAGCTGTGATTAACACCCAGAATTTTAAATCCCGATTCTGTGCTGTCACTCTTCCAAATGCAGTCTGGATTTAGAGCCAGTGTGGGAAGCTGATTTTATTGAGAGCTTTCTAAAGCCACTGCAATGAAATGAAAGCTCTGCTTGCCTCTTGTAGCCTCTGGGTGTGCAGGGAGGCTGGCTGTGTGAGCCTGTCACTGTAACACTCGCTGCTGGCACAGATGCTTGGGTGGGCAGAGCACTGGCTGCTTCCCTTCAGAATTCCAGAGGCCCAGCCTCGCCTCCTAAGGGAGCTAAATTCATCCTTGAGGAGGAGGAGAGCTGTGTCAGTGCCCTGCTGCTGCTCTCCTGCTTGTGCTGCAGGTCAGTGTCTGCAGCAGCGCCCTGCACGTGTGCGGCTGCAGGAACTGCACAGGGGCCTTGCAGCTCTGTGCTGTCCTCCCATGTTCCAGAGGCCAAGCCATGGTACAAGGTGCCTGCACAGCCTGTGTTGCTTCTGGAACTGGAGCTGGGTGCTGCTCCAGTCAGTTGGAATGTGCAGCTGGAGATCACTGCAGCTCCTGCAGCCAGGCGGGGATGGGCCAGGGCACCAGTGTTGGCAGTGGATTTGTGTGACAGTAATGGCTTGGCTTACCAGGCTGAGGAAGTACAGGCACTAAAATTTGTCCAAAACATGTTTATTAGAAACTTCAGGAGTGCCACATGCAGAAGATTTGTATGCTTTTCAACACCAGCTGAGGATGACCTCTGCATTTCCTCCATCCATGTCATCCATTTGGATTTTAAAGGTTTTAGAGCAGTGACTCTCTTACATGAAAAAAATCAATTTACTTGAAAAATTTGGCAGTGGTTCTGAATGAGGCTGCAGGTTTTAGTAACATTCAGTCTCTTACATGTGTGCCTTCCTTCTGGTTTAATTAATCCTCCAAAGACTGGTTTGAATGGTAGCTATTCCATATGCAGGCAAGTTGAGAGTCACAAGGGAAAGTTATTTAAATAAGCATTTAAGTCTGAGTCACTGTCTAACAACTCTTTTGAAATTCTAGGTAATTAAAACTTCTGAATTCCCACTGAAATTGAGAGAAGCATCCTCTGCAGGAATGCAAGACACACAGGTGGCTGTGGGCACAGCAGGTCACCCTGGACTGTCACAGCACTGCAGGTGTGAGGTACAGCACTGCCTGACCTCACCATACACTGTGCTCCTGAGATACAGCCAAGCTCCCTTAAGCTTCCTGGGACTCTGTGTCAGTAAAAAGCTGCCATGCTAGAAATACTCAGAGATGCTGTCAGCCCTCCCACTCAGAGCAGGGGAGGAAATAAAACCCACCAGAGAAACAAATATGGAGCAAGATGGACTTGGCAGTATGCAAGGAAATAGGTTATTTATGTATATATTGTTGGGTCAGGGATGTTTGTCAGATCTTGGGAAAATTATTTAAGGCTTAGGTTTGAGTCTCTTTGGGTTTTGGGGAATCTCTTAAACCTGATGGCACCAACACCTTTGTTACAGTAGGAGGAAGTTGATGCCAGCTGACAAATTGTGGACTTCACCCAGGTTGGGTGGTGAGCACATTTATGGTGCAAGGGCCCCAGACACGGTGCAGGCACTCACCTACCACTGCCAAGCAGCCACATGTTGCTGCCAGCACACCTGGTGTGACTGAGCATCCTGTGTGGAGTTTGTAACACAGATGCCTGCTCAGTTTTATGGTAGCATGAAATAACCATGCACACAGTCCCCATTCACTTGGAGGTGTTGGTGTCTATCTTGAGCTCACCTGGGTTTCATAAAACAGGGAGAGTCTGAGCCTGCCAGAGTGAGAGAGGACAACACAAGTGAAAAATCCTCACTAGATCCTCCTGTGAAAGCAGTGAGAACACATTCTCAGGGGCTCTGAATAATTCTATGCTTGCCCCTTAAGTTTCACTTAACCCCAGGGGACACAGCTGGCCCCTGTTTGACCAAGCCCGCCCATCCAGCCCTGCTGCTTGCAGAGCACACAGACCCTCAGTCCTGGCAGGGTGTGTTTCTGAGCTCCTTGGTCATCCACTTTAATTTCACATCAACTCAAGGACTGATTGACTGCAGCATGTTTATTCCCTTCCAAATAAATCTCAAACCCGAAGCCAGCATCCTGCCCATATCACAAACACGTCAGGATTAGCTCCCACCGGTGCCTTTGCTAATGAGGAGAGCTCCAGCGCGGCCCGGGGCTGGTGGGGCGGGATCAGCCGTGTTGGGTGTGACAGCCGCGGCACCCGACACACACAGCGCTCCGCTGGCAGACCTCAGCCTGTGAGGACTGAAGAGCAGACGGCAGGCATTCCCTGCTTCCACCTTCTTTGCCAAACACTGGCGTAGCACATCTGTATTTCTAAGGGGGAGCTGAAAACTCTCAGTAGGTTTATATCCAGACGTCTTCCATCTTCTTTTTCACTGCTCCTAAATCCCCTCAAGTAGCTCTTGTGCATGAAAACTGTACATAGCACAGGCATGTTTCCTATACGCAATAATAATGTTCTCCTCTGTGTCCCCTTTTATCTTTGCTTTACAAAAAGGTTCTTGAAGGCATTGTTGTAATTTTTGTTAAATGCTGTATAAATGAGAGGATTAAAGAAAGAATTTGAGTAGCCAAGCCAAAGAAAGATGCTTTTCCAGACGGGAGGGATGTTACAGGAACAGAGGGGACTTATTAATTCTGTGATGAAGAAAGGGATCCAGCACAGTACAAAAACTCCAATTAAGATGCCAACCATCAGAGCTGCCTTTTTCTCTTTCTGTTCCCTCCATGTTTCTCCATCTGTCTGGAAAGTGATAGCTGCACGACGAGCTGTAAACACCATCTGTGGTTCCTTCGAAGCTTCCTTCACCTCAAACAAAAGCAAACACAGTTTCTTACCGAGACAGTTTGTTTGAATGAAGTATTACTTTTAAATGACAGCACAACATCTGTGCACCTACCACAAAAGGCCTGAACTTCATTCCTTCCATGCTAAAAGAAAGAAAATGCCCCAGAGTGCCAAACTCATTACACTGGAAAAGCTGCCAAGTGTAACTGACAAACAGAGCTAAATAAAGAGTACCTGGTACCATGTGTGTTGTGGGACTCTTTCAGTTCATTGTACTGGATGCCTCCACACCCAGGGGGAAATGAGGTTGTCAAGGCAGGCTAACAAAAGCCTGTGTCTGCTGCCTATCCCTGCACCAGGCTCATGCTGCTACATGGCCTTCAGACCCGCTCTAGGTGAACTGCCTCAGCACGGCTTGGACTAGATCATCTCCAGAGGTCCCTTCCAAGTCCCACCATTCTGTGATTCTGTACTGTCTTAAAAGTACACCATTGCCAGAAAAACTCCATTTCATTTGACCTTCAGTTCAAACTCTGGCTTCAGTAGAGGTTATACAAGAGAGCAAAAAATTTCAGCTACTCCAAGCTGTTGACAGTGCTTCTTGTCTCCTCTCACTGAGGGCAAGAGACTCGTGTCTGCAGTGAGTATAGCACAGTGCTCTGTGGCAAACAGCTCCTGGGCAGAAGCTGTGTGCTTTGAGTCAGAACAGATGAAGACAATCCCTAGAGATTTTAATCTGAAGATTGAAGTGTCTGTGATATTAAAGTTCTCCTAGGCACTACACTTATGAAAAGAGTGCAATAAAAGCAACAGCTTAAGGCTGTAAAATTTGCCTGAGTGATAATTCACAGGCACTCCAAATATGGGCCATTGTTAGATTAGCTACATATTGCACATTCATGTGCTACCTTTGCAATAGAAGGAGGGCCTGTACTCAGTATGAGCACTGCAATTCAGACAGTGAAGCAGTGGCTGAACAATCATTCTTCAGGATGGATATCCCTGTCTGCACCCTCAGACACGAGACGGGGCTGCAGAACATTACAGCAGCAGATTATGGGCACAGGCAAATAATGGAGGAAAATGAAAATCACATCTGTTCTGACAATTAAAATGGGACACCCCTCATGTAGCAAGGATCACACCATTTGTCTGCAGAAGGACTTGCTCTGCACATCCTTAATCACACTCTGCAAAAAGGGATGAATGTATGACACGAGGACAAATCTGTGACAAGCAACCCTGAAAGATTGTCTTAGCCCTGAGGAACAGTTACATAAGTGCCTCCTGGGAACAGCCATACAAAGGACTTCCTCAGGAGCATCAGGCACAGTTTGATACTGTATTTAACCTTCAACTCCTGCTCAGAAGATGAAGCTTGCTGTGTGCCATTATCAAATCACAAAATCATCAAATCAGAGCCTTCTCACTACTGACTGCAGAATTTCCTAGTAGTGACCCTTTTATCACTTAATTACATATTGTAAGAAAAGATTATTTAATATCCTTTGCTAGAAGATACCTCAATCCTCAGGAGTTTTCCACAATGAAGCCTGCATGTACAGCCTGGTCAAGCTCCTACTGAAGTAAGAGGAGTTTTTACAAACTTCCCTGGTTGTTAGGTCAAGCCTCTGTAAACAAAAGAGCAAGTGAAACTAGATCATGGTATGTTTTGTAAATCACTTGCTAGAACTAAATGCAGCTCTAACTGCATCAAATCTTCAGCTCCCAGTGCCAGCCCCAGAGGCTTCTCATGACTCCAGTTTCCAATGCAAGTCACAACAGCTGACCTTTATTCCCAAACCACACAGAACAAAGGACAAGTATGGAACCTTTGCCTCCATTTTGGGCTTACTGATGAGCACTAGCAAGCAGGCTGTGACAGCAGAAGAGGTGGTCACAGACTGTAAATTAGAGCAGTCCATGGAGATGCCTTGGGTTATGCTGGAGCCATGTCTGCAGTGCTGCACACTGTTCTCACTCGGTGTCTAGCAGCACTCTCTGCCTCGGGCACAGATTTCCTTCCATCTGCCCAGGCACTGCTCCAGGAGCTGCGAGTCAGGAGCACTGGGGAAAGAGCTGGCATGAAAGGACTGCTCCTCTGAGGCCAGAATTTGGTTCTGAACTCATGAAATCAGCTATTTCCAGGACACTGGGCTGTGAGAACTGCAGAGATAACTGCTGTTCTGTGAGACTAATAAAAAGTAAATGAAGGGAATGAGCTCAAGTACAAATCCTTCTACAGTCACAAAGGACTTTGGTTTTAGTTCCAGAATTTATTCTTCTGTACACTGATCAGCAATTACAGTTCAATGCCTCTTCTCTTGTTTGTTTGTCCCCAGTAAATTATTACTCCTAAATGGATACATGTTCCCAGAGCTGCGTGTTCCCAATTCCTGTGTTCCTAGAATGTCATAGAAAACATGCCACCGAGGACCTTCTGACAAAATCTTTTGATTTAAAATGTTCCTTATAGCTTTAATGATTGTTATTACTAGTCCTTCATGGCAGGTGCTCGGCGTGTGTCCGTCCTGCACCTGCAGGGCTGCAATAACAAAACAACAGTAATGATAAACATCAATCAAATCTGGCTTAGCACCACAAATTTAGAGCTTTGCCTGTCACAGTGTGGCTCAGCAAAGGTCATTACTGCCTCAGTGCAGCCCTGGCATACTACTTGCTCTTTGAACAAGAGCACAAGAAACTAAATGCACAACAAAGGATCAAAACATAGAAACGTCTACACTGTCTTGGATATTCCACCAACATGACAAACAGCTCATCTTCAGGGAGAAGAATAGCTGCTTTCTCTCACAGGATTTTCTTCTGCTCTAAGCAGGACTAACTGTATTTCTCCCAGGAAATAACTACCCACTCCACTTTGCTTCCTTCCTCACTCTTTTCTGGACATTTTTTGCACCTCTTCTGGACAGCTGAACTTTGTTTCCTGACCCACCTCTTCTACTTGTACAGAGGCACAAATAAGAAATGAAAGGCCTGTGACCCCTTCAGAAAAGGAGAATCTGTTCTTTTTTTCTCTCACATTGTCCTGACTGGTTAAGTGGGTTGGAGAAGCTGAATGGGCCAAGGTGCAGAACAACACAGCACCTCTGGAGCTCTGGGGCCTGATGTTATCCAAAGTGGGAAGGACTCTCACAAAACTCTAAGGTTTGGACCATGCCTAATGTTTTTATATACTGGGCAAGTACTTTGAGAGGGGAGAAATAAATAAAAACAAAGAAAACAACAACAAAAAAAACCCACCCACCAACAAGACCTCCACCAATCATCAACCGAACTCAATTTTTAACTCCTCACATGAAAATTTAAACCTGATTTTGCAACTGCTACATGTAAATAATGCAGAAATTCAGATCCCATCCTTGTCAGTTTTGCTAGGCTATCCCTATGCTACAAGTGATTTCATTGATTTAAAAGGGCACTATCCAGCAGTATCTGCTGGTTTTCAAGCAGTCTCATTTATTTCAATTGGACTGTTTAGAGAGAGAATTATTGCCTGCTGTCAACCAGGTGTGACAGAGCATAGCTCTCTGTCAGTGATGATATGTCACTAGGTTTTTAATGAGGGTCACCCACGTCAGTGTTGCCTGCAGAATTCACTTTTCAGGGAGTTTCATAATTGGCAAACAAAAACTTATAAAAGTGCCAGCTTAATTTAGAATCCCAATTTGGCAATTATTTTACTTCAAAGGAAAGCAAAAACCAAGCTCTCATTAAAACCAGAAGCATCTCAGATGTTCACATCCATCTCCCTCACCTGAATTTTTTCAAAGGTTTTGAAAGGTAAACAAGTAAAAACTTTTACACAAGTAAAATTACAACCAAAGAATGACTCAGAATAGTTATTTTGTACCTATTCTTTCTGCCACTCTCTAAGAACATAAGGTATGTATGCCAACTCCCAGTTTGAAAGTAATGCCCTTTCTCTGTGAAAAAACCCCAAACCATTATATACATATATATATATATAGGCAACCTGCAAAGCACTTTGGTGCCTGACTCTGTTGGCTGACAAACATTAAGGTATCATCCTCACTGCTCCACTTGGTGCATTGGTTTTTCCAAGATACCCCTACTGGCATCTGAATGTTATGGACTCACACTTTTTCTGTCCTTAGCCTTGCCAGAATTAACCAGCTGGTTTTACCTCAGGCCACCAACTGCAGCCCTGCTGTGCAGTTCCAGTCCAGCACGACCTGACAGCTCATTCCTGAGTGCAACACAGACGTCTCTCCCAGCAGGGATCACTGGTGTTATTGCTCACCTCCAGACTGGGAAGCACTGCCAGCCTTTGGCATCGTCTGCCAAAAAAACCCTGCTAATATTCTTCAGATCAGCTGGTGCAGGGCACCTGGAGTGAGAGCTGACATAGATGCAGAGGGGAATTCACATCCAGAGTCACAGTGACAGAAGGAAAACGTTGCCAGGGTGAGCATGACAGGTGAGCATTCTCTGAGATGGAAGAAAGTAGAGGGAGGAGAGACATCAAGGGAGAAAGAATGGGAAAATCAGAATGAGCTGATGGACAAACGATGAGAAGCAGAACAGAATTTGCCCCATCAGAGAGGACAGAGCTGATGCTGACAGCCTGATCACCCCTGCATGCAGAGAAGCAAAGATTGGCAATGTTACCTTTGTGTTTGCATGTTAAAAAAACAACAGGGTTTTGCCAAAGAACAGTAGTGATGCGTGTGAAGATTCCCCTCCAGAATTCACTGGGGAACTGCTACTCTTCCTGTGAAAGTGATGGATCCCACTATGACATTCTTAAAAAAGATCAGGATAACACTCAGTAAGTAAACCTCAGTATCTCAATTTAGAAAGAAAACAAGAAATGCATCCTGAATGCCAGCTTGCTTGATCCACAAGTTCATTTAATGTACATGTGTGCAGCATCCGCTCCTCCTTCAGGTGAGGAGTAAAGTTTGCATCTGAATCACAGAAGTCTTTTAATTGAAGTCAGCAAACAGAGCTGCTGGGACAATAGGGGAAGCTGACACTACACATCAATTGCAGACTCAAGAATCCCTGTTAGGAGAAGTTAATATGTCGATCACACCAATAAGAAAGAAGACCTACTGGCTTGAGCATCTGCTAGCATCGCAATAACGCCTCCAAAACGCGTGTGTAGCTCACTCTGACAGAGCCCTTGTGTCAGTGCAGCCTAAACCAGCCCCCCGATGCTGCATCACAAAAAGCACCACCTGGCAGCCATGCTGGGCCCACGCAGGGCCTCCCGCAGACAGAACTGTGACAATTTGCAGCCAGACTCAGTCTTGCTAAAACTGTCATGTGATGTGTCTTGCCACTGGCTCGAGCAGCAATGCCTCAGTTCATTTCACTTCCCAGACTTTTAGATTCCAAACAACTAGTCCTGTGTGGGTAGGTGTGTGTGTAACAGATAGAGCATGCAAAACCACTACAAATAATCAGCTGGCTTTTGTGCTTGAAGAGATTATACATTAACTCCAAGCAATACTTCATTGTACTTAAAACAATTTGGAAGAAATCTGGTGCAAACTAGGGGCTGAAAATCATAGGGAAAAAAAATGCCACTAGAGGAGACATTCTCTACTTTTCTAACAAATTTTTTGCTTTTTCATAGAAGATACCTTCATAAATCAATATCTATTAGAATTAGCTTCAAGACATTATGATCCAAATCTGCGAGTCTAATCACACATAACTGCCAGTGCAATTATGCAATTATTCCAGAGCAATAATACAATTATACTAGTGCATCTCTTGCAAGCATCTGGGGACACAACCTACAGCCTCTTACTTGTGACCATCATAATGAGCTTCCCTGCCTCCAAATCAAAGACAGGATTTTGCAGGGGAATGAGGCTCTGCAGGATTAACCCCAAATGGAACAGGAACATTCTCTGTAGGTATCTCTAACGTCCACACAGATCATCTTTGGCTACTGGGAAGGGACTGGACTTAGGAAGTGCAACATAACAAAAACATAAAGACTGACAGGAGTGAGAGTAAGAGTATGTGATAGCAGACAGGGAAAGTTTACAGAGAGCACAGCCAAACACGGTGGAGGCATGGAATGGGTGACAGCAGCACCACGCAGAGAGCCTGGCTTAGGGAGCACAAGGAGCTAACCCCAACCCTTCTGAAGGGACACAGCTTTCCTGTCCCAAAATGAACAAAACCTCCCAAACGGCTAGGGCACTGCAGGATTACAGACAATCTTTGGGATAAGGAGAACATGGTTTTGAAGCCAGCAGGTAATTTTAAACCAGAAACGATTGCTCATTGCTTCAACACTAGGCAGTGAGCAGCATTCAAGGAAAAATAGCCCAAGCTATATATAGATATAAGTTTATATTGTGAATAGTGCTTAATTTGCTTACCAGAATGTACTCAGACACACAAAGTCTGTGCTGGTAGACAAATGCACATTTATCTTGGTACAGGACCTGGGGATCTGTTTATGTCTTTTTTTACCCCACCAACACTAGAAGCAATATAGAGGAAAAAAAAAACAAAACCTCCAAGGAATGGCAAATTCAGAACAAAGACAATTTTCAAATATCTCTCCTGACTGGCAGGGAATGCACCTGTCCCTTACTCTTATAACCCACAAGGAAAAAACGAGAATAAAGCTTTTCTCCAGGAGCTGCACTTTTTGACTGGCTAATTGTGCTCACGTCCAGTCTGTGACAAAATCAAACACACGGGAGCCTCCGAGGCACCTGGCATCCTTCTCGCTGTGCCGAACACACCATCGCAGGGGTGAGGGCCGGAGCTGAGGAGAAGCAGGATGGCAGTGCCGGGGGGAGCAGCGGGGAATCCCTCCCCTTGGCCAGCCTTACCTGGGCAGCCTCGGGCAGGGGCCCCACGGCGTTCCTCCTGCGGGCCCCCATGTGGAACTTGGACGCCTTGTAGATCTTCCAGTAGACGAAGAGCACCACGCAGAGGGGCAGGTAGAACGCCCCGCCCGTGGACACGATGGTGTAGGACGGGTCCTGGCTGAGCTGGCAGCGCTCCTGCTCGGGGCTGTAGGTCTCCCCCCAGCCCAGGAGCGGGGCGAGGGAGATGGCGGCGGACAGCAGCCAGGTGAGAGCGATCATCACGTTGGAGATGCGGCGGCGGGCGAGCAGCGTGTACTGCAGCTGCCGGGTGATGGACCAGTAGCGGTCCAGGGCGATGGCCGTCACGTTCCAGATGCTGGCCGTGCAGCACAGCATGTCGAAGCACACCCACACGAGGCACAGCTCCCGGCCCAGCCGCCACCGCCGCCCGGCCGACAGCTCCTTCACCAGGCTGAGCGGCATCACCAGGGCCGCCACCAGCACGTCCGACACCGCCGTGGAGGCCACCAGGTTGTGGGGCACCCGGTGGAAGGCCTTCACTCGCAGGATGGTCGCCAGCACCAGCAGGTTCCAGAGGAAGGTGGCCACGGTCAGCAGCACCAGCAGGGTGAGGATGAGGACGGTGAAGATGGAGAAGGGTTCCCGGCCCCTCCACGCGCTGCCGCCCACCACCGAGGAGGAGGCGTTGCTGTCCACGTTGGCGGACGAGGTATTGGCGCCCATGCTGGGCTGGCACTGACCCCGTGGGGAGCAGGGGCTCAGGGTCTCCGCCATGCCCGGGATCAGGGCTCGACTCCTCACCGCTGCCCCTTCCCAGGCCGCCGGCACTGTCCCCAGCCCCGCTGCCGGCGAGCGGGAGCCCCACAGCGGGGACGCGCCTCCGCTCAGCGGCCGCCCCACATGCGCCGCCGCCCCAGCGCTGCCCGCGACTCACACCCGCGCCCGCCGCACCGCACGCCCATCCCGGGCAGCTGGAGAAGGGAGGCAAGCTGGAGAAGGGAGGGAAACGCGGCTGGACCGCGCGAGGCTCTGGCACGGGCAGCGCGGACGGCCGGGCGAGCGGGC